AGGCGAATATAACACCCTCCTCTGACCTCTGCAGGCATTGAATGGCATGGATGCGCTTACATACATGCAGGCAATATACTCATACAGATATAATAAAAACAATAAATAAAATACTTTTAAAAAAGAAGAATTGGGGTTGTTCTCTCTCCTGTTTTCTGGAAGAAATTGTATAAAATCTTTAATTAATTCTGTTAAATCTTTAGTAATTTGGTAGATTTTTTTTCAGTGAAACCATCTATACCTGGACATTCTTTTGGGGGAATTTTTATATTATGAATTAATTTTTGTTTTTAGATAAAAGTCTTCTTACTTTGCTAAATCTGGTTTCCTCCTGCCTTAGCCTTCCAAGTGCTGGGATTTCATGCATGTGCCACTGCACTCTGCTATAAATTATCATTAAAAAAAGTTTAATTGAATTTTACTAGGTTTAATATATATATATTTTAAATATTTTGTTATTTTTATTTTATGTGTACAAGTGTATTGCCTGCATGTATGTGAGTGCACCCATGACACACAATGCTGTGGAAGTCAGAAGAGGGCTTCGGATTCCCCTGGAACTGTAGTTAGGGATGGTTCGTAGCTGCCATGTGGGTGCTGAGATCGAACCCGGGTCCTCTGCAAGAGCAGTCAGTGCTTTTAACCGCTGAGCCATCTCTACAGACCCAAGGTTCAGTATATTTAATTTTTTTTTTTTTTTTTTTTTGTCTTTTTGAGACAGGGTCTCCCTGTAGCCCCATCTGTCCTGGAACTCACTATGTAGACCAGGCTGGCCTTGAACTGAGATCCTCCTGCCTCTGCCTCCCGAGTGCTGGAACTAAAGGTGTGTGTCACCACACCCGGCTCATATTTTAAAATTTATTTTGAGGCTTCATCTTTAACTCATGGATTATTGAAAGAATGCCATTTAGCTTCCAATGCTTAGAAGTTTCCTGTTACCTTGTGTTACTGATTTCTAGTTTGATACTATTGTGGTCAAAGAAAATAGTCTGTATTTATTGAGGTTTGTTTTATTACTCAAGGTATGATATGTCTTCATCTGTATCATGGGAGTGTTTGAAAAGTGTGTGTATTTTGCTATTGGAAGCTAGCTCAGTTGCTGATGGCGTTATTGCATTGTTCTATGTCCTTGCTGAGTCTGTCTTGATTAGTTGCTGACAGTTCCAGCTCTATGGCTTCTGCTGGCACTAAAGTGTGGCAGGTCTCTCCAGGCTTGGTAGGACAAAAGTCCTGACTCACACCTCAGCCTTCTGTCATCATCTCTTACAACTGATAAGGCTGCAAGTCTTAGTTTTCCAGTGAGCCTTTGCTGCTGACCCTACAGTCTTTTTGTTGTGTGGTGACTGGCTGGAGTAGGTTATTTTTCTGAAGGTTTTCTGTCTATAGTCCTGGCTGTTGGCTAGAGGATATTAAATATAACAAGAACAACAGCATGGAATAACAGTATGGAAAGGAAGCTAGCTGACACATGGTTCATAATTCCCTTCAGGTTGAAGTTTAGTAGAGAATGAGCCTTGAAGTGTGAGGGAGAGCATTAGACAGAAACAATACAGTATGGGGAGATCTAGACATGGTGGGGCCTTAAAGGAAAGGAGAGGCTTCCCTTTAAAGCCTGGAGAAGTGCTTCAGAGGAACCTCTTGAGAGGTTGAGGAGCAGCTTTCAACCCCTAACCCAGAAGTCTACCTGCGGAGTCACCTGAGGGCCAATCTCCTAAGCTAAAGAGAAATCTGCCTTTTTACAACTTTTTAGGGATGGTGGGAAGTTTCATGTTACTTAACTCAGCACAGGGTATGTGACAAAGCACATGGAGGAGCCAGGTCCTCTTTGAGAGCAGCCAGTGCTCTTAACTGCTGAACCATCTCTCCAGCCCCTAAAATGGATTTTTGAGATGAAATTACAGTGATGTGCTCTTCTGGAGCCTTCCAGTTTTTATTAAACCAAGTTATCATCCTTTTTTTTTTTTTTTTGAGAGGGGCAGAATCTCACTCTGTACCCTTGAACTCATGATTCTCCTGCTTTAGCCTCCCAAGTGGTAGACATACAGGCCTGCACCGCCATGCCCAGCATTTTTTAAAATTATTTATTTAATAACCACATACGTAGAAGAAGAATTTCATTACATCAGCATTGGCATATTCAATAACAATTTTCTGAGCTAGGCTGCATCTCTTAAAAAATTGGCTGTACATTTTTAGGTTTACAGTTGAATTATTACAGTTATACAATATTGTACTCGGTATAAGCCCTATGAGAC